TGATTTTTGAGAATTATGAAAAAATAAAAAATAAATTAATCAAAAATATTTATTAAAGATTTATATTTTTTCATTAATAGAATGAAATCTTGCATTTTCTATTAATTATTTGAAGAAATTTATGAATAACCTATATGTTATATAGCTAGCTAGCTTTCCTTAAAGTATACTTTTATCTTTTTAAAAATCCTTTAAAATAATTACAAGAACAAACAAATTCAGTATGAAATTTTTAAATATTCTCTTTGAGTGTTTGAATAAGAATAACTTTTCTGGTTCTTATTTTCTAGCTGCTCTCTAATATTTAATATTACTTTGCTTTATATCTTAGTATTAATTCATATTTTTTAAAATAATACAAAATTTTTATTTTAAAGCTATTTTAATACTTAATTACTAAAACTTGTTTAATTTTTAATTTTCCTCTATCATTTAAGCTAAATAATAATTTGATATTATTTAGTTTGATATTAATTGATTAAATATACATACCTTACTTTTTAAACTAAAAAACAAAAAATATTATATTCTTATAAATTTACTAATCTAAAATAATAACAATATTTTTTAATATTTAAATTTTTATATGGTTGGTGTAAACAAATATTTCAAGTTAAAGAAATTCTATAACTATAAAATATTTCTTAAAATGAAAAATATAAATTAATTATATCCTTAATTCTAATTTTTAACTTAATTAATTTTTTTTAAGAAAATGAGAGCTTGTTTAGCAAATATATTTTAAATGATCAAATAATTTAATCATTTATAAGCTATCAAAATAAATTTTATAAATTTTGAAAAAAATAAAATAAATTTAAGATTATAAATAAATTACAAAATAGTATTAATTCCTACATTCAATTTTAAAAATTAATTACTAAAAATTTAGACGTAGATAAGTGATTTTCTAATTATTTTTTAGAGAAAGTGCAATTAGGTTTGCTCCTTGATACCCAATATTATTATTACTAGGATTAAATTAATTAATTTAATTTTTTTAAATTATAAAAAAATACTTTATAAAAAATAATAATATAAAAAGAATCAATTACTAAAGGCCTAATTCTAAAGATGTAAGATTTTAAGATTTTAGTAATAATTAAGCTAGATATTTTGCTGCTTCTTCATTTAAATTATTTGAGCTAACAAATAAATAAATTAAATTAATTTAAATATAGAAAAATGTAAAATATAAAAATTAAATAAATGATATTAAATATAAAAAATAATTACCAAAGATAAAGAGTTAAGTGAGTAAGATTCTAATAGTTTTATAATGATTATGTAATTTATTGAACTGCTTCTAAATTTAAACTATTATTGCTAATTAATAATAAAATATAAATTAATGTAAATTTATAATTACAATCCAAATCAAATTAAAATAAATTAAGAAATATTAAATACAAATATAAAAAATAGATAAAATTAAAGAAAATTAAAAAATAAAAAGATTAATTAATTACTTTAGATATAGCTTTAGACTGTTCATTTTATGAAGTTTTTCTAAAGATGTAGCAATATATTTAGCACCTTCTAATTTTAAATTATTGTTACTAATTAATTAATAAACAAAATAAAATAAAAAAATATTTAATAAAAAAAATAATAAATATATTTATTAGAAATAACTTAAACAAAAAACAAACTTTCACTCAATTTAATTTCCAAAAATTAATATACCCAACTTCATTGTTTTGAAAATAAATGGTGGGGGACATGTATTTTGAATCCCATAATATAATAATAATATATAAAATAATTTAAATGTCTAATTATAATACAGATAAAATGAAAATTAATTAAGAAATATTAAATATAAGATTAATTAATTACTTTAAATATAGTTCTAAACTATTTATTTGATGACATTTTTGTAAAGATGTAGCAATATATTAAACACCTTCTAATTTAAAATTATTCTCACTAATTAATAATAAAATTAAATTAAAAAAGATTTAATTAAAATATAAAGGAATATTTTAAAAGTAAATATAATAAAATTAATTCAATACCTTAAATTTAAAATTAGACTTGAAATATTCTAACACTTTTCTAAAGCACCAGCTATTTATTTAAGTTATTCATCTTGAATATTTTTGTTGCTAATTAATAAGAGATAGGTTTATTTTAAAACCAAATAATAAAAATGGAAACATATTTATTCATCTTTTAAAATGAGAAATTTCTAGGAGTAATCGATTTTTAAAAAATAAATCTAAGAAATAATTGACTTTGAAATAAATAATTTGATAAAAAATTAAAAATATAAAAATTGAAAGATTTAAAATTAAATTAACAATAAATAAATAGTAAAATAAATAAAAATTATAAAGAATATTTATTTATTTGAATTAGTAATTTTACAAAGCTAAATTAAATTTTTTTGTTTTTATCATAAGATTAAGATAATACTATTTAACTCCATATATTATAAATTTTCGGTTTCAAGGTATGGATGGTTATTAAAAAAAATAAAGTCTTTTTTTAAAGAAGTTCTAAAATAAAATGATGAATATTTTTAGGGAAAGAAAGATAGATTTTTAATATCTGAGGTACTTATTTTTATATTTAAGCTATTTCATTTTAAAATCTTAATTGACCCTTAAAGTACTCAAGAATAATAAATTAATTTTCTTTTTAAATTTTATCATAGTTTTTAGAACAAAAAATAAGAGCTTTTATTAAATTTAATTTCTCATTTCTGAATTTAAATAAAAAATAATTAAATTAAATTACCTTAAATAAATTTCTATATTTTAGAAATTTTAAATATTGCTAAGATCTTCAAGTGAGAATATTTAAATTTTTTTGTTTTAATCTAATTAATTTCCTTAGACCTGTGAATTTTGTGAAACCTACAACATATTCCTATTTTCTTAAGCTATTGAAAAATCGTTAATTTAATTGATAAGCTGAACAATTAAATCCTTTATTTAATTTTGAGATACCAAATCTACTTTATAACTTTAAATTGTTCTAAGAGAATTAAGCATTTACTCCTTATAAACTTTTTGTTTTTCAATGTTTTCTTTTACAATTAAAGAAAATGCCTAATTTTAATTAATAAAATCTTGGTATTAATTAAGTATGATATCTTTAAGTTTTTCTTTTTAGCAAATTCTATTGTATAAATCCCATGGATATTCAAAGCTATCGTATCTCATTTCTATATTTATTAATGAATCTTTTTCTTTCTTGTCAATCAGTAAATTAATTTCATCTCTTAAAAGCTTGTAGAAAACTTAAACATTTTGAATACTTTACTTTATTAATTCCTCTTTTTTAGGTATTACCATAAGCTACTCATAGATCTCAGTGTCATCTAATATGGGCCATCCTTTAAATAATGTTGATTAGTTACTATCAAGTACTTATTTCAGAGGAAGAAATTTAAAGGTTTGTTCTGAAAGACAATATATGCACTTGAGCATTTGTTGGTTAGAGTAGTTATCTACTTTCAAGATATCCAACCTTTGATTATGTAAGTTGCATTTTTAGTTATAATGTTTCATGATAAATAATTCATTTTAATTATAACCTAACATTTAGTAATTTTAAATTTGATCCATTTTATCTTTTCTTAAAAGCAGCTTTCTCTTTTTTTTCTTCAAGAAGATATTTTTTAATTAATTAATTAATTATTATAAGATTAAAAGAAATTTTCTCCTTTTTAAATTAAAAAGAAAAAAATAAAAGTGTTTTATTTTGTTTGAAATTAAATTTTGAATAATTAGAAACTATCAGAAATTTATTTAATTAAAATAGATAGATAAGTGAAATAGAAAAAATGAAAATGTTAATAAAACTAATGAATTCTTAATTAATAAAATCCAAATTTTCTATATACTGAATTTCTTATTTTCAGTATATGTTTATTCTATTTCCATAGTTTTTAAAAACGAGTAGGGTTGATAACGAAAAAATATGCAATAATATAAAAAAAACTATTAAAGTATAAAAAATATAAATAATACTTTTATAAAAGTTATAAAATATAAAATTAATTTTAATTTTAAGTTTTGCATTAGTATATTAACTTATAGAATTCAAATCCTGCAAATTCTACTCATTTCTAGATATAATTAGAAGACTATTTAGCTATGCAATTTATTGTCTTGATCTACTTACTTTTTAATAACTTTTTTAGTGGTAATAAGTATTTCATTTATATTATTGTTCTATCATTAACATATAAAATCCAAATCTTCTATATACTGAATTTCTTATTTTCAGGATATGTTAATACTATTTCCATAGTTTTTAAAAATTAGTAGGGTTGATAATGGAAAAATATGCGATAATATAAAAAAACTATTTAAGTATTAAAAAATATAAATAATAGTTTTATAAGAGTTATGAAATATAAAATTAATTATAATTTTTTCATTAGAATATTAACTTATAGAATTCAAATCCTGCAAATTCTACTCATTTCTAGATATAATTAGCAAAATATTTAGCTACGCAATTGGTTGTCTTGATCTACTTACTTTTTAATAACTTTTATAGTCGTAATAAGTATTTCATTTATATTATTGTTCTATCATTAACATTTTATTTCTACGAGTCTTTAGATCTTAAATACTTTTTATTTGATTCTTATTTTTTCTAAAAATAACAAACTTTTATTATTAAAACAAATATTTTACTTAAGAATAAAATATTTTTAAGTTTTAGAAACATCAACTAATTAATATTTATACTTAAATAAAAACTCTTAAAAATTATAAAATTACTTTAGGGTTGCACCTTGATATTTTTACAGTTGATTAATTCCCTTAATATTAATAGTTTGTTATCAAGTCTAAAATTAAAAATTTTGCTTTAATAAATTAATAAAATATTAATTACTTGAATTTAAGTTCCAAAGATAATAATTTTGGTAAACTTGACACACATTAACCAAATTTTAACTATCCTTCATCACTTATAT